ATACGTCAAAGCTTTGCAGAGATACAGCCTCATATGCATTTTGGCATCTTAACCAGCAAATTCGTTGATGCTCTAAATGAAAACGGTTTCGTATATCGACACGAAATCCATAACTTTTTGCCAGCTTAGTCTGAAGATGATCCGAGTCAAATTTGGTGAAAATTGGACAAACGGTCTAGGAGGAGTTCGAAAAAGTAGGTTTTCAACATGAATCAAAATGGCGGACAGGAAGTTCAGCCAATTATGGCAAAATTGGTATCGATGTTCTCAGCATGATGCAAGGAATCTATAAACATCAGTCTCATTACAATATTATAATGTATGCAAAAGTTATTAGCATTTTTATAAATTGCTTTATAACTTTTGACCACAAGGTGGCGCTGCGCCCAAACTTTTTGAGTGCCATCAGGGCATGGTGCCGAAGATGCATACCGATTTTTGTAATAAAGTCTAAGCGTTCTTAAAATATTGCATTTTTTTACAAAATTCAAAATGGTCGATGCCCAAAATGGCTGACACGAAAAAATTTGGTATGGTTCGACTCAGCATGATGCACCGAATCTAAAGAGACTGTTCTGTGATTTTTGGCCAAACCATTCAGAAATTATAAGCAAAAATATGCATTTTTTTGGTGTTCATTCGACTCGGCATGAGCCAAGGATTCAGAGGAAAAAAAGAATTTTAATTTTGTGCCTTATGGTTCAAAAGTTATTAGCATAAAGAAATTGCAACTTTGGACAAGCGGTGGAGCTAGAGAGTTGGAGTTAGAGATTCCAAACTTGCTGTGGTTAATGTTGAGACTGTCCTCTATCAGTGTGCCAAATTTCACAACTTTCCCGCAAGCGGTTCTATGGGCTGCCATAGACTTTCGGCGGAAGAAGAAAAATGACGCTAATGGATACAATAGGTGCCACTGCACCTTCGGTGCTTGGCCCCTAATTAGAGACAGTTCATCATAGCTACTGACAGATAAGGCCAAATTACCTGCCACTGCATTGACAACTGGCTGGTGGCAGGTGGTAAACTCCCACCGCAATTCCCATTCTGACCCAGAATGCAACTCTCATTGTGACTCCCTCTATTTAAACAAAATTGGTCTTCAAACTTAAACTAATTCTAATTCAGAATCTGGACACAAAAATGCTGGTGAATATCCAAGCAAATAAGCCAATATAAGACTGTCAAAGTAACATCAAGCTCACCTGGCATGGTCACAATCTACTTTGCCTTTGTAACAGTCAAGGAAACTCATGGGTAAAGCGTGGTCAGCAATGGCTCGTGCTATAAATTGACCAAGCATCTAAAGAAAGGAAAGGAACCAGGTAATACAGGGAATGTATTTCACATTCAAATATAATATATACACTTTCATTCAATTTAAAAGAGAATCTTTAAAAACACTTTTTGTGGTCTATTGTGTTCCCCAGTCATGCATACTTGGAACAACATGTTCCTCTAAAGGGGTCATATGATGCTGCTAAAAATAACATTATTTTGTGTATTTGGTGTAATGAAATGTGTTTATGCGGTTTAAAGTAAAAAAAAAAACAACATTATTTTCCACATACTGTACATTAATGTTTCTACTCTATGCCCCGCCTTTCTGAAACGCATCGATTTTTACAAAGCTCATCGGTCTGAAAAAGTGACGTGTGCTGTGATTGGCCAGCTATCAATGCGTTGTGATTGGCTGAATACCTCAAGCGTGAGACGGAAATGTTATGCCCCTCACATACTGTGATGCCTTGTCCGGCCGGAGCGACGAGACAAAAACATTAAAACCCATTACAAACGAGGCATTTGTTGCATCCAGTGGGGACATAATTACTGATTATAATGACTTATACTGTCTTTTTACGCGTTGCGTTGCATTGCATCGCGCCGCGTAAACATAAAACTCTGTCTGCATTTGTGATCAGAGAAATGACAAACAACAAGTGCTACTCTACTGCCCAAAACTCACGCTTGAATCATCAGTGGCAAATCCTTTAAATGAAAACGTACTTACGCGAGTCAGAACTGCCGGGCTGAGGCGGCGGGGTCGAGAACGGCGCGCCCGGCGGATCCGACGAATGAGCGGCAACCACATGTGACGGACCCCGATTCCGCTTCGTCCACGGTGAAAGTTGATGTATTCCCTCAGCGACCAGCACAGAAGCTCTAGGCATGACGAAGCGGATATCGTCCTCTTTTGGAAGACCAAACAAAGTAGTTTCGCTTTCACAACGAAGCACACAGCGTCTTCATGACATGGCTGCAGCGTCAACAAAACTACAGTGAGACTAAAAGTTACACCTTCTTTCTTTGCGTTAACATTTGGGCGGCGTTATGCAAATCTTCCCACATAGTGACGTAGATATGTGGGGGTGTGTTAGAACGAGCCGTTTTAGGTAGGTGTGGCTGACTCTGAACTTTTATAAAGAATATCTCTTTGGATTTGAGACTTTAGTTTTTGCAACTTTACAGATCTTCTTCCAAGAGCTTGTAACACTCCAAAGAGAAAGGAAAAATTTAAATCGCATCATATGACCCCTTTAATTACGTGCTGTCCTGTTTCACTGAATTTCTTACATTGTGGATTTTACAGTATAATTGGGTTTACTGTATGACATTTCAACCTGTGGGGCCTCCGGTGTGTCCAGGATGAGGTCTGGCAGCTCTTTAAGCATTTTGTCAAATGCACGTGACATGTCCTTCTCAGAGAGCACCTTTCCAGACAAGTCGGAGAGGAGACGAGATGTGAGCTCCCTGTGGCTGGCCTTGCCTTCCAGAGAAAGAGACACAGCCAGAGAGGAGAACTCATATTTGTGATGGCCCAAGTTCAGCTCTTTGAGCAGCATCTACCAGACAAAGGAGGAAATGGAGATAAGTTTAGATCAATAGTTCACATAAACAATAGAAAACTGTGGACAATAGCTGGGATGTGAATTCAATGCTTCCATTCTGATGAGTATTTAAAATACTGTATACTACACCAATTGTGAGGTAAGAGTGATGCAGTAATATAGTGGTTCACAACCTTTTTGACTTCAGGGCCCCCTTATAAATTTCTGGATTCCAGACGTTTAAAGATATCTGAATGTTCTTCAGGAATCCCGCTCCTTTTAATCTATTAACTTTTATGATTTTTTTTCCCCCCAGTGACTCGTTATTTTTATTCACAACTTCTACATGATAAATTATTTTAGAGCTTGGCATAACCGTAAAATTTAGTTACAAAAACACTGTCCATGGAGTTTAAAGATTTTATTAATTTACATAAGTTTTCCCTCTCTAGAAATCACACCTTAAATTAGGCTTCCTCATATATCTTAGTTGTCCAAGATAGTGTGAACCCTGTATCTTCAAAGAAGAAGAAAATAGATGGTGTGAACTGAAAATAGGAATTAACTTGATTTAGAAATCACTTGTTTAAGCTTACTTTAATGCTTTTTTAATGCCCCCTAGTAGGCTCCAGCTTTCTGTTTGAGAACCACTATGCTAACAGTAAACAATTAATGGTTATAGAATGTTTAGCACACATTGTATCCAACATTTTCCCCTCTACATTACACTGAAACAAAGGTTCTGTTAATTGGTATCTGGGCTTTGTGATAAACTACAGCTCACCTCCACTTCTTTGGTGTCTCCATGCTCAAAGTATTCCTGCACAATGGGGTTGATGGTCTTCTCGAGTTCTCTCTCGTCCAGCTCTGGTACTACTGTGGCATATACCGTGTCTCCCTGATATACAAATATGAGTCTCACACTAGAAAAAACACCTTTACTGTACATAAGGGAAAAAAAAACGAGGAAACAACAAGTATATACTAAATAATAAAAATAACACCTTGATTTCATCATGCATCTGGCCTCACAGAGCTTTCAAGGAAACAAGACAATGCTACAGGCATTTGCTTTTTAATTTGTGCACCGACTAACATCACTGATTCACTGCAATATTCAAACAGCATGCTTGCCAGAACTACTTTTAGCTCACATCCCACTCAGCTGAAGAGGAGAAACACTGACTATTTCAAAAAGGCCAATGGGTTTTCTAATGGACATCTCTTTAAGAAATAATTCACTCTACCTTATTTACTTACACTCATGCCATTCCAAACATCACACCTCATTAGTGGTTGTGTCAATGGCATGATGCAAGAATCAGTGATGTTTAATGCTACTGACATGTCGCTATATTTGATTTGGGACTTATTGAACATGAGCTCTATATACACATCCATGTGCATTTATATATATATATATTTTTACATTTTATTAATGAACATAAATTGTCTTATTTAAAAGTGCTAAACTGGGCGATACTGTCTGTTGTAATGTTTTTTTAATAAATGTAATTTAGTTATATTATAGGTATTTTATCAAACCATAATCATGACAGTTGCACTAACCACACCTGGGACTAATTAAACTCTATAAAAAAAAAAACAGGAGCCTCAAATAATTTTTACTGCATTTTAGTCAAACTTCTTGCCCTTTGGACTTGAATCTCACTTAAGGGGTCCTATAATGCTTTCTCACTTATTGTGTTATGTTGCAGTTTGAGCATAAAAAAGATGTGCAATGTTACAATCCTCTCATTTATAAACATTCCCAGAGTCTGAATCAGGCTTGAAAATCATGAAGAATGACATGAGGGTGAGTAAATGCTGACAACTTTCATTTTTAAATGAACTATCCCTCTGAACTATTACCTCCAGTCCTAAATGTGTTAACTGGCATTGTTGATTTAAACAATACATGATGTCCACAGACATCAGAGAACTATTGCAAATATTGTGACACTTTTCATTTATAACCCATACATATTATATCTACCATAAAGTGAGGTATACTAGTATTCTTCATGTAACCTGTAAAACTGAAATGTAGGTATACACTTACCTGTGAAGATTCATCATAGTTGGGGTCCTTAGCATCAGGTTCCTCCACCTCATATACCATACCCGCTGCTCCCCACACACCTTTACCACCCGCTCCACCTATACATAAGAGCAATCAGTGTAAAACACTAGAAGAAAGCCAAGCGCGAAAAGTGTTTGAACAATAAACATTTATCCAATAGACACCACAGTATAAGTGGTGCCTGTTATATCGCTTAACTTATTTTTTGGTTTGCATCCATTAAAATAAAAAATACAATCGAATTAGAAAAGGTAACTTTCATTTGTAAATCAAAATAAAAACCAAGAATTACAACAAAGAAAAAAACAAGAATTATGTAATAAACATTTTTGGGACGATTTTGCAGCTAAAATAACTACATCTTGATGATAAATACCGTAATTTGAAAGGGGTCATATGATGCGATTTCAAGTTTTCCTTTCTCTTTGGAGTGTTACAAGCTGTTCGTGAATAGATAAGATCCCTAAAGTTGCAAAGACTAAAGTCTCAAACCCAAAGAGGTATTCTTAATAATCTCGACCCCGCCGCCTCAGCTCACTCTTGCCCGGCTTCAGCTCACGCTAAGCCGGGGCTTTCGCTCACGCTAGGCCGCTGTGTTTTTCGTTGTGAAAGCGAAACTACTTTGTTTGGTCTTCCAAAAGAGGACGATATCCGCTTCTTCATGCCTAGAGCTGATCCGTGCTGGTCGCTGAGGAAATACATCAACTTCGCACTGTGGATCGCCGGGTTGGCTTCCCCGGATCGGGGTCGTCACATGTGGTTGCCGCAAGCCCGCTGGCCACGCCGTTCCTCACTCAAGCCCGCCGTGTGCAACACTGTGTGTTTCGTTGTGAAAGTGAAACTACTTTGTTTGGCCTTCCAAAAGAGGACACAACTACAAATCAATGGTTAAGTTGTATTTACAACACTGTTCCAGAACAGTTCAAAACAAATATTCAGATGTGTGCAGCGCATTTTATGGAGGACTGTTTCCCGAACCTGGGAAAGTAGCCTGCAATGCTGTCTACACACAAAGGCTGTCACTGTTCCAGAACAGTTCAACCCAAATATTCAGATGCGTGCAGCACATTTTATGGAGGACTGTTTCCTGATCCTGCAGAGTAGCCTACAATGCTGTCTACACACAAAGGCTGTTTCTATAAAACACTTTGCAAGGACAGTCTGGCGCTTCTGACTCACAGCCTGTAAGTACGTTTTTCATATTTAAAGAATTTGCCACTGACGATTCAAACGTGAGTTCTGAGCAGTGTAGAGTAGCGCTTGTTGTTTGTCATTTCTCCGATCACAAATGCAGACATGGTTTTATGTTTACGTGGCGCGATGCAACGCAATGCATAAAAAGACAGTATAAGTCATTATAATCAGTAATTATGTCCCCACTGGATGCAACAAATGCCTCGTTTGTAATGGGTTTTATTGGTTTTGTCTCGTCGCTCCGGGACACGGCATCACAGTATGGCCGGGGCGTAACATTTACATCACACACTTGAGGCATTCAGCCAATCACAACACACCTCGCTTTTTAGAATGATGAGCTTTGTAAAAATCGATGCGTTTCAGAAAGGCGGGGCATAGAGGAGCAACAATAACGTACATTATGTGGAAAATAATGTGTTTTTTGAACCTTAAACCGCATAAACACATTGCATTAAACCAAATACACAACATAATGTTCTTTTTAGCAACGTCATATGACCCCTTTAAGATTCATATCACAACAAATAACTCGAGTTACTATTAAAATTGGGCACTTGAAAAACAATTCATATTTCACAATCTCACCTTTTTTGGGCAGTCCCCGACCTTTTCCAGTCCGTGACTTTCTGTCATTTACAGCGTTTTTGCCCTTGGGGCTGTGTGGATCGGTAGAAAGCTCTCCTGAAACCGAATCAGAGAATGATTCCCGGTTGGAATCCCGGGATGATGACTTGCGCAGGCGCCGCTTAGCCTTAGCTTTCAGTCTGGCCTCATGCAGCGCCTTCTCCTGAGGAGTCCAGTTCCCATTCACCTCCAACTCATTCAGATCTTCACTGCCATAAGGCCCATCCTCCTCACCCTTCCCTTGCTCAAGTGAGAACACACCTGTACAAGACAGACCGAACGGATAACTATTTAGATAAATGGCCAAACATACGTTACCAGCTAAACACCATAGACATCTGCTTTCTTCTCTGTATTTCACAGTACTTTAGTTTGTATTCTCATGTAGCTTACATTTTGAACTTGCGATTGTGTAATGTAAATACTGTTACATTTACCAGGGTTTCTGCAGGTTTTATGTTTGTTTATTTCTCTCTTAACGCCAATCCAGCATCTGTGGCTATATTCATGGCGAGAACCAGTTGATCCATACACAAGTCGATCCATACACAAGGCTCGTCTTTTACACACGTCCAGGGACAATTTAGAATGTTCAATTAACCTAATCTGCATGTCTTTGGGCTGTGGGAGGAAACCGGAGCACCCGGCGTAAACCCACGCAGACACAGGGAGAACATGCAAACTCCACACAGAAAGGCCTCCTGTCCTGCAGGTTTTATGAAAGCAAATTAAAGACATAAACTCTGCTCCCAACCACTAGAATATTGAAAGAACTTTTATTGTACCTTTTTATAACACTGTAAAATTTTATCTAAAACATCTGATTATCTTTCTCAGTATTTTTGTCTTGTTTTCCAGTGCAAATGTCAATATGCATTTATAGGAAAAGCAAAATGACATGTCTTTGGGACATTTCTCAAAATGAAGTTACTTTATGATTAAACCAAGGAAAAATATTTGCTAATGCACTCAGAAAAATCAACTTAACTTGTTTTCCCTTTAAATTGATTTTTCATACCCCATTTACAGATATTTATTCTTGTTTTAAGCACACACTCACTTCATTTTGTAACTTCATACCTTCATTTTGCATCTCAAGTAAATGAATCTTGATTTAAGAATGTTTGTTTGTATATTTGAATTGGGAAACAAGACAGAAACACTAAAGAAGATAATCTTTTTTTTTGTTTTGTTTGCAGTGAAAGCAACACAGTGCCATAATTTTATGAATTTCAGATTTTCTACTCAGATTTAAGATGTTTTTAAGACCCATAGAAACCCTGTTCATGACAAATTGCTTGTGAATTTCCTCATTTATTAAGTTGCTTCACATAACAAATGTGCATGGTAAAAGAACAAATAAATAAGAATAAAAGAATAAATATACAAATAAGGCTTATGAAAAATTCAAGACCAAAAATGTTAAATTCACCATTTACCATTTAAATTTTACGTCAAAAGGTAAGTTTCAGACATCACATAGTACGCATACCACTTTAACTAAACATTTACAAAACTTGTACAAAACAAATATTGATATTTTAAATTGCATTATAAAGGATTAGAACATTTCGTTATGGAGAAATATTTGTCTTTCCAGCACACCTGGTCAGGTTTCACATTCACATCAGATAAACCTTGAAAAAGAATCACCCTTAAATAATAATAAAATACATGAATAAAAACTATAATAGAATATAAATAACATTAAAACAGCACTGCTGCTTATAACATAAAAAGTGATGAGTCCACTTTTAGGTCAAGGTCTCACTCAATCTATAAATATAAGCTGAGTTCATCCCACAATAGGCTATACATTTATTAAATCACACTCTACTCCGTTTTAAAGAGGCAGACTCAAAACAACAATGCATACTCTGCTTTCACTAGATTACAGAAGGATAACTAAAGGCAGTAGTACAGAAGGCAGAAAAGCTGACGTTGCTTATTTCGGTGCCTTGCTGGTGTTCTTGCCAAGCCTTTCTACATATAGCAGTGTACAGTTCGCATGGGTGGGGTGGGGGGTGACACGTTCACAGGAGAAAGTAGGAGTAGGAGTGGACTACATGGTAATAAATACTCTCGTCCTAAATACTAGCTACAGTCAGACGAGAAACCACACTGTAGCTACTAGTGTTTAAATCTGCATAAGTGCCAGGAACAGCAACACAAAATACACGCCAAAGCAGAAATGTTGCAGAAATATCCACTAAAAGTTTTTAGATATTGATCAGAACTCTCTGTACTACATCAAAAAAAAGTGTGTCTCAATAACAACCCTATGTTGGTTTCTTTTTGTTTTAAGTACTAAGTACTAAGTAAGTTGGAAAACAGGAGGTGTGGTGGGTGTGTTTAACCAGCGGTTTAACTGTCAATAAGGAGAATTTGCTGTGATAAAAGTAAAAGTCTTATCTGTTTTTGTCAACTATGGCATATTCACCTCTGACATCTTCTGGGGGTGTACACTAGACCCACCTTACAACAACACATACAGTCTGTAGTGCAAATGTGTCTTGCAAGTCTGTGCATTACACATTATGCACTATGACTACATGAAAAAACAGGGATCCACAAATAGGCAGGTATTCATAAGTATGGGGTCAATAATATCCAATTTGTTTGTTGCATGCTAAATTAAAACCTGGCCAAATACAATTTGAAAAATGTATATGAAAAGTACATGTCTTAAGTGTGTTAGACAACTACACATTTTTCCTCCAGTACTCTACGTGGTGACATGATATATTGCTAGCTTGCACTATGCAACAAATATACACACGTTTTATGAGAGGTATTGTTTCATATTTATGTGACTACTATCTGATTGCAACTGACAAAATTACTTTTACTGTTTGCTGCAAAAATGCAGGGGGAAAAACAGCTAAATAATCACAGAATCATAGAGACAAAACATATCTCAAAATGTATGCAAATAACAAATTTGCTTAATTTACATTAACAATTTTTTGGAAGTGTAAATAAATCAACCCCAATGAAAAGTGTCATTTTATTTATTTACTATTGTTTGTTCATTGTGTCTGCATTGTAATGTACGCCTGCTATTCATCAAACTAATCAAACTGGATCCAATCCATTAAAGAGAAGGACTGAATGCAAACAATCATTAAAATGAACTCTTGTAGTATGTGTGTAAATTTACGGTGTTTATTTAAATACAAAACAGAATGTAAACGCAAAACAGTGACAAGGCAAAAGTTTAAATACACCAAGTCATAAAACACTCAAATCTGTAGGTTGTTTTTTTTTGTTGTTAAAATTGTAAGTCATACCGGAAGACTGTGGCAGGTACTTTCAATAATAGTACTTTATCATGGATTTTTGTTTGAGTTCCTTATGCAGCGCAGCCAAAATAAGCAAATACATCTGAATTCAAATACCTTTATTATTTTAATAGTCATGTAATATCTTTATGTCCGTTGCTTACGGGAAATTGTGTTTCTGATTTTCTGTATTTTATATTCTTACACTTTTTTCATTATCTATAACACTGATCTGGACCTCTGCACTTATGTATTTCTGAAATGAAATCTACAAAACACTTATTCAAACTCACGTGGAAGTTAAAACATCCGGGTATCTCAGCAAGGGGGCGTAGTGTTAAATATTGTAGCAAATTTTTAACAAAGACATTTAATGATTTTATTGTTTACAAGATCAAACATAAATAGATTTTTAGAAAAGAAATGTCACAACTTGCCATTCAATATTGGTTTGTTCTTAAGCCAATCTGGCAGCAATAAATATGACAAGTTTTCATGCTAGCTCCTTGCGTTTAACGATCTTTTGGAATTAAAATGTAGAGTTTACATTATGAACGACAGTACATTTGTGTTAAATCTACGAAAAAAAATGTTTGGCCGCTTTATTTGTAAAATTCTAAAAGAGAAATTAAAATAACTTCCGAAAAAAGTTTTGCAATAAAAAGTTAGCTTGTCTTTATGCTCTCAAAATAACATCCACTGAAATCCTGGTGTTAATGCAGTAAGGCACCGTTTATTTTTCTAAGAGTTTATACCACATATGCGATATACAAGCCTTCTGCCAGAGCACATGGTGGAACATGACTGCAACTAAAGCCTATGTCATCTGCAAAGACGACATGGTAAAATACCAACTACAATATGCATTAATAAGCTAAAAGCAAGCTGAATGCATTAATGAGCAGTTTTTAGGACAACCAGAGGTTTAATGTTCGTACCATCGTTTTTAGGGCCAGTGATCCATGCTTCAATCTCAGTCGCCATTATACGCCTGTTTACCGTCCTCCTAAACCTGCAGATCACGGAAACAAGTTGGAACCACATCAATATCAAACGTGCAAAATCACGTGGTTTACATAAGCAACAAAAATCCATAGTATTTAATCTTAAGAAGTGATGTGACCGTTTTAATTTGCGCTTTAGTCGTAAATGCATTGAGCTTAGCCTCACCTTAAATTGAAGGCTCGATTGTCACTTAAAATCTAGCAGTAGGATTGCTGGTAATGTAAACAGTCCTTGAGTGAGGAAAATAAGAAGTCAAAAATATCTTATTTAATTATTCAAGTCAAAAGGGTCTACAAAAATATATTTTTTCATTAGCAGTGCAGCACGCACGTTGCAGAGAGGGAGCAATAACATGGACAGTGTTTTCAACTTGAGACAGCTCATAGCACGTCACATGCGTTGCGTGAGCCTCATGCATATTAATTAAGTAGCTTGTCCTTTGCCCAGTAAGAATGTGGACCGTTCGACAGTAGACGAATGAGCGACGCTTGTGGTTCATGAATATTAATTAGGCTACGTGACTTGTCAAACGTACAAAGCAACGTCAGCATCACTAAATTAATGTTCATTGAGTGAAGCATACACTGGATTCGTAGTTTGGCTGCCTGAACGGGGAGTGGTGGATGAAGGGGCAGGAGTAAAACAATTTGTCCAATCTCATAGCAAAGGCAAACTAGGCGGAGTTTGACGAGTTTGTTTCTTTGGTAAACACGTTTCAATTTTTGTAATTGTCCACATTCTGATATTATCAGTGTGCGGTATACTCAATTACTTACTTAATAGCTTAAAATATTAGGCCATAATGTAATTTAGGTTTGTATTATTTAAAATATCTCTGACTCTTTCTGGTCATCAAACAAACGGTATTCTTTTGACGGTCTCATAATTTCCTATTTTTCTTTGTAAGCATCCACACAGACTGCTATCTGATCAGTCACCTCTCTCTCTCTCTCTCTCTCTCTCTCTCTCTCGTAGGCTACTAGTGATCTATTTGTTTTTCAAGTAAATACTGTTTAATACAATATCGCATTAAAAGGAAAGATGTCTAGTCATAATTTGGTTGGAGTTCTGTCTTTCACTCTACCAAAACTGTACTATTGTGTTTTTGTTTTATTATGTTGTGTGTAATATAATATTCAGCTTTCTACTAAATACAAACAGAGTCTTTAAATTCCCCAGAACGACGCCAGACGTCGCTGTCACCATAATGAAAACTGATAGAACGTGCGCACCTGATTCCTATAGACCAGGGGTGGCGAACTCCGGTCCTGGAGAGCCGCAGCCCTGCAGAGTTCAGCTCCAACCCTAATTAAAACTCACCTGCCTGTAGCTTTGTAGTAAGCCTTTAGACCTTGATTAGCTTGTTCAGGTGTGTTTGATTAGGGTTGAAGCGAAATTCTACAGGGCTGCGGCTCTCCAGGACCGACGTTCGCCACCCCTGCTATAGACGGATAATTCACACGATCCATATCTGGTGTAAGTATTATACTTTAATTGTGTGTGTGTGTGTGTGTGTGTGTACGTACAGGTTTATATATCCTGGTGGGGACTTAAACCTGAATACTGTACACACAGACTCATGGGGTCAAGGTGGGGACCTACACCTTGTATAAAAGCTTATAAATCATACAGAATTAGTTTTTTTTTTTTTTTGAGGAAGTAAAAATGCTGAAATTTTCTTGTGATGGGTAGGTTTAGGTGTAGGGCGACAGAAAATACGGTTTGTACAGTATAAAAACCATGACGCCTATGGAGAGTCTCTACAAGGATAGCTAACCAGACTGTGTGTGTGTGTGTGTGTGTGTGTTTGAGGGGTCGTATAGGCCTGTATCGTATATAATTATTGAAAAGCCTCTTACAAACGCTAGTGAAACGAAAAACATTGATAAACCTTAGTGAAATTCTTTCATATGCATTACTGAAAACCTCTTACAAACACTAGTGAAATGAAAAACATTGATCAACCTTAGTGAACTTCATTCATACGCATTACTGAAAACCTCTTTATTATTGTGTGTGTGTGTGTGTGTGTGTGTGTGTGTGTGTGTGTGCGCGCGCGCGCGTGCGTTAATTGTAATTTTTAAAACAACGATTAATTAAAATGTCTGATTATAATTCAGTAGACCTAATTCAACAAATGAAACCTTTCTCTTTTCAATTGACTATAATAAGCAACTGGCCAAATTTTGAAGCAGACATTTTCATTATGTATGTATTTATTTATAAAAGAAAGAAAGAGATGAAGCTGCATTTCCACAAGGTTGTGTGGAATTTTCCTTAGCATTCAATAAAAGAAACTTCACAGAAGTTTGGTCAGTGGCATCATGTAGGAAGCAGGAGAAGATGATGGTTGTCCAAGTTACTGGTGCAACAGCAAGGTTATATGCTGACTTTGCCTCTGTATTTTTTGAGTCCATTAAGTAGGGTGTGCACAGCTGCACTTGTGGGCTGCAGAAACACATTCCCAAGCACGCAAAGGCTGTGGGCCTCAAGCTCTTTTTTTCATTCTCTCTTACTAGATAGTATTAAGTCTTTCCTCTGCCTATGCCTTGATTTTTTTTTTTTTTTGGCTCTAATTTTTCCAAAATTAAGAAAATTAATATTTTGCAAGTAGTAGGACCAACATAATGCCATATTTTGGTTAATATAACTTTTTTCTGTAAGACAAATCATGCTACTGTGAAACCTTATAATCAGGTTCAAATTCAGGTTTATTTATTAAACAACAACAGACATTACAAAGTAATGTACCATAAAGAAAATACAGTAAGTACAAAATTACAGTAAATACAGAATTGAAATACAATAAGAAAAATCATAGTTTGAGAACCACTTGCCTCGAACTTTATCCAAAAGATCTTTTGACTCCCTGCTGTCCTCTAGAAAGAATATAAAATAACCCCCTAGCTTTCTGTGCACAATTTCTCTATAATACACTTGGAGGAAGAAGCATGTGAAACTTTTTGATTGACCTGGTTTCTGCAGAAATTAGTCATAAAATGAGCTATAGTCTTAAAGTCACAACAACAGACAATCTGCTTAAAAACCACGCAAACAGTGATATGTTTTTTTTATTGAGTACATTATGTAAACATTGACAGTACGTCGTGGTATAAGTGTGTGATGTAAAAGCAGGCTAAAGACAAAAGTTAAATGGAATTAAAAGTCAGCTTCAGTCAGTGAGGTGAGATTCAAGGTGTTAGGCAAAAAGCCTCTTTAACTGTACAACCCGTATTTTGAGTTTGCTATTAATGAGAAGCATTATGTGAACCATGTGTCACAAAAGAGTTCTCAGAACACCTAAGATAAGAATTGTTTACTTGCATAAGCTTACAAAGTATTGTTAAAAGCCTTCATGTTCATCAGTGAGACTAACAGTCTATAAATAGAGAGCGTTCACTGCTGCTGCTGCTCTGTGAGTTGGGGGTCCTGCAAATATAACTGCAAGAGCATAGTGCAGAATTTCTGTAAAGACTCATAGAAATCTTGAACATGCTAAACAAAGAACAGTATTGGGTGGGAGGACCCCCCCCCCCCCCCCAAAAAAAAACCCCCAAA